TGAAATCGGATAGGGATGAACGGGTTTAAGAGTTTTTAAGAGTTTAAGAGTTTTAAGAGTTTTTAAGAGTTTTAGCCAAATGCTTTATAATATAGCATAGATATACACATATATATGTATAGACACACACATATAGGTAGATTCACTTGTCAGTCAATGCATTGGTGTTAATTTTACAAACTCATATAAGCCGTTTATTTTTTTTTATCAACGATTATGATTAAATGAAAGATTATAAAATGGTTCAAAAAGAAACATATTAAATGGAGTTAAGTCAATGGTAAATTTGGAACAAATTATGTCGTATTTTTGGAAGATAATTATTACTCTGTTTATCCTTAAAATAGGTGAGTTTCATATTTGGAAATTGCTTTATGATTTCGGTTTCATCTATGAACTTTGATTGTTCCATTTTTTTTTACCAAAGTTCCCAGATTAAAATAGAGAGTTCATAGGTGAAACTATAGAGTTCATAGATGAAACAATGATTTTTGTCTAAAGTTATAGGTGAAACAATAATTTTGATTTATAGTTCATAATTGTTTCATAAACGTGGAACAATGATTTTTGTTTAAAGTTCATAGGTGAAACAATGTTTTTCATGAACCGATCAATATGACTCAATTGCTTCAACTTTTCTTCAAAATTTTGATCGACTCAAACCATTCGAATACTGCATATGCACACATCCAAGAAAACTTTTCAGTTTTCGTTACTCCATTTGCTCGATGAATGATCACAAAGATGTGATCTGAATCGTGGATCAATTTTTGAGGACCTTTGATTCAGGCGTTGATAATTGGACTAGCAATATATCAATGAAGAAATGAATCATTGTACCTTGTTATCCTCTCTTTTTTGTTGACTTGATCATCTTTCCTTTTCAAATCAACTATATCAACCTCTTCCCTTACTAACTGTTCTACCAAATACGGAGCTTTACTGGCTTCATCAAATTGCAAAAAGAGCAATTGATTTCGCCGCATCCTAATGTGCATCTAAGAGTGGAGATCTCTTCTTATTCTCACCGGAACCCATATTTAAAAAAAAAAATTACCAACAAAAAGAAAAAGGAGATGCCATTTAAAACATTGAGGTGGAAAATCATGTGTATGAAAATTACATAAATCATATACATCTTCTATCACTGCCCTTTTTCTAAACCATTTCCAACTCATGCCATCACTACAAGTACAATAAAACCAACCCTTAGCAAGAAAAACCTTACAACTATTTCACTTTCATTACAAACCAACCACCCATTTTGTAGAAATGCAAAACGAAAACCACTATCAAAATGAGACTTTTTGGACCAAAAAGGTGGTTTTGTTTGCATTTACATTTCCACAATCTTTCCAAAATCCCCCCTCATGTTTTAAAACACACTGCTACTACAGTGTTTCTCTTACATTTTCATAAGAACGATGTGTTACCTCCTAACAATGAGAAGCAGCGAAATACTATAATATTCCCACTCAACTTAAAACTCAAAACGACACACGAGTGAGGTGAATAGCTAACACTAACCCTAGTGCTCACAAAAGCTGCCGGAGTTCCTGGTTTTCTTTGCGTAAAGATTGGATTTCCTTCATAAGCTCTGCCTGATTTTCCAAAAGTGAACTCATTGCATTTGTCATTTGCATCTGCACCAACAAGAATCATCCTTCATCAGCACCATAATATATTTTTTCCAATTCTACCCTTAATTAATTAAGGGTAAAGTTGAAGTGTAATAATTACACATGTTAACAAGCATATCCAATTTAAACAAACCTCCTGCATATGAAACTGTCTTAGAACTTCGATATGCAGATTTCTAACATCTTCATGAATCGATTTCTGAAAAGAACCAAGAGCTTCTTCAAGAGTGCCTTGAAATAGCTGAAGTGAGAACGAAGATCCCTGCTGTGAATTACCCTGCAAACCTGTTTTTTGGGCTTGTGTATCCATTCCCTGTCAACAAAAATCAAACTTAATCAACAAACCGTTATTATAAACCGGAAAATCAATCCACTTGAAACAGTCATAAAATTACATTCATGGACGGAAGAAATCCAGGTTCTGTGGCAGCCGACATCTCATGCCGGGGTGAAAAGCTATTCAAAAGCTCTTCCCTTGTTTCAGCTCCTGTCTTTTTTGTTTTCGGGGAACCCACAGCAATTGATGTCCCATCACTTAACGACGGATTAGTGCTTATCCTCTCGGCATAACTTGAAAATCTTCGTGTTGGAGTCAACGCTAGTCCTGAAGATTCTACGTTAGTAGTGCCTTTCACACCAAGTGAAAGAGATGTAGAGCTGAATGGGCCTTCAGAATATCCTAAAGGACTCTCTTGATTAGAAGAGTTATCCCTGGCTCGGAAATTAGCCAAGCTCAAGCTTGAACTTGAAACGGGGTTCATAGCCGTTTGGCTTGAAGGCAAACTAAGATCTTGGAGTCCAGATAGCATGGATCCCGAAGATATACTACTGGAAGTTGCCAGTGTTGCAAAGCGAGAAGGTAGCGTCACTGACTGACGTGGCGGGCGCACAAACTTATCCGACAATCTCTCACCACCCCAAGCTTCTGGGGGAGTAATGGATGGTGATTCATCGGTTTTGGAAGATACAGGAGAAGTTGCTGGACGAGAGACAGGAGTGCTGCTGTCATCCTGTGTTTTATAAATACAATTTAAAACGGTTTTCAAATGTTGCACTATTATAAGATTGGGGGCAGATTCAAATGAGAACCATAAATATTTTGAGAACCTAGGAACCAACTTTTATGAATTATTCATGATCAATATCGTATACTGTGATATATTTTCATGATGAAAATGCATGATATTAATCATGAATAATACATGAAATAGTCTGTTCTCGCATCAAAATATTTATGGTTCTCATTTGAACTTACCCATATAAGATTGTTGGGTAAAGAATAACATATTGAGATATTGACTACATTGCATATATTGATATCCACGTAAATGAAGGCAAATACTCTCTGCCACAGATGAAAAGGTCCAAATCTGAGTCTTGGGTGTCAAACAAGTTAAATTTTTTAACTTCAAGATCCAGTATTGGCATGGCTGTAGATTAAAATGATTATTACATTTAAAAAACATGATACAACGATAAATTATTTCAAATACAGAAGCTAAAAACTACAGTGTCACATAAATTTCAAAGTATAATGCTTGACTTTGTTAAATCAAAAATAGACTTTTTATTGGGATGGAGTGGTTGACAATATAATAAAATAGACAAGAAAAAAGTTCACAAAATGCAGCATCTACAAGTTGTATGCTTTGTTCAGAAGGTTTTCTCAAAGGGATTCCAAACTAATTTTATTCATTAACGGCTATGGTTCTTCACTAGCTATTATTAGCATAAAGAAATGGAGTTCTTGCTATACTGGACTTATATGCTCTGAAGTCTGAACAAGTCGTTTATAAGAACTATCTAGCACGCACATGGCTAAGGTACTCAATAATTCAATGTGCAACACATACAAACAGTGTCCTGAATTCGCAAGTCATCAAATGCACAAGGCAGATAACAAACATTTATATTTGACTGCTAAATTAAAACCATGTAATGGAACATCATGATAGGTCGTCCTGAGAAATGAGCAAACCTGTATTGTGGTTGAGTTAGGTTTCCAGTCAAAAATCGAATGCGGATCACTGCCAACCTCCGGTGCAAGAGGGAATCTCTTGGATGAAGGAAACAGCAGAGAAGTCCTCTTATCAAAGTCGGTTTTTGTTCCCCCCCACAGCTTATCAAATGAGGGTGTAATGGGTTGAACTTCTACAAGTGGAGAAAAAACCTCCATGTCATCCTTGTAGTTGTAACTCCGTGGGGCATGTAATCTAGCCAATCCGCCAGCCCTAAGAGTGCTTCGGAGTGGTGTTTCTTCCCCTGCAGATGAATCGTTACTACTTGACATTGATCCACTAGCAACTGTTGACGGAGCTGACTCTGGAGAGGGCCCAGCACGACTAGAATTTCGATAACCGGCAATCGCTGTTGAGAGTAAATGACTAGACATTGTTGCTGAAGGAAGTGGGTCGGGCATAAGGATTGAATCATCCACAGTGCCTCCCAGGAGAGCCGTATCTGCTGTGCAGGTTTTTTCATTTACAAATATAGGTTTTGATCTTTGCCAGCATAAACTTGTGACGGCCTGATGTAAACATATTATAAGAAATATTGCTCAGCAAGGATTAACATTAGAAAAGATAATATTTGTGAATTATGTTAGTGGCATCAGTTATGTCGGTAATTGTGCACATGTGAAACTCCAGAAAAGTAAAAAAGCAAAACTTCAAGTGAAAACCTGTGGATTAACATCTTGAATGCTAGTCATGCTCATTTAATCAAGAGATTTAAGGTTGTTAGTTGTTACACAGTTCCCACTAAGCAATGAACAACGGATCACCATCAGTAGATAATCAAGAGTTGAGAAATGTCATTTAATGATTATTTATTTATCAACAAAAAGATTATTAAGATGGACTCTTATAAGCTCCCACTACAATTCTCCAAAGGCCACTCCAAAGACATTTTCTTACATCCCAATGACCAAATAACTACCTCCAGTCACTATGCCTCTACAATCCTATTCCCTGAATGGAATAAAGTAATATAAATAGACAATTAAGTGAGCAGAATTCAATTTCCGTACACCATGACAGAGATATAACTCATGGAGCCCAATTTTAAAATGAACAATAAGAAAATAAAATAAGAAAAAGGAATAAGTAAATAAGATATAGGGAGAATGTAAACCTCAGAATTTGCATAAGCACGAAGAACAGTAAACGGTTGTGGCTTTCCACGGACATCATAAAATACGACCTGCCCAGTAGTTGTCCCAGCTGCCAGTGTGTATCCATCATCTCGAAATGCCACTGAAGAAAAAGGTGACTCATATGGAATGCAAAATGAGGGTCTTCTTGTTCCTGAGTCGAAAGTGTATAGCTTTTTATCTAGTCCCACACTAGCAATCATCTGCCAAAACTCAAACTTATAAAAGAAGGAACGGCATAATAGTCCCAAAACAATGACTGCATGCCTGATACTTTTAGCAATGACCTCCCTCAAAGATATCCTCTAATCCATGCAGAATTTAATTCACTATTTTCTGTTGTAGAACAGGTAGATTACTAAAGTTAGAATAGACCTTGTCATTCGATGGTGAAAAACTAACACCAGCAGTTGGTGCAGAATGCTGCTTTAACCAAGAAACCTGCATGTGGAAATAATATCATCATAAGCTTCTTTTTGTGTACTAGAATATCATAACTAGACCAGACAAAAGATGCTACTGGGAGGTTTTTATTTGCATATTGATTTGACTAATATGAAGCACCGATACTTGAGATAGAGTGCTGCATCCTCACTGTGTGAGTTTGGTGCAGGTGCGGTTTGAAATCCAAAAAAGCACACACCCATTTATCTAAAAGTTCACTTGGATATAGAAGGTGTAACTTGGTTTTTGTGTGAGTTTTTGTGGATATGGCTGGTTTTTTTTTGTGGAGACTTTGGCTTATTTTTGCTCTTTCAAGTTCTTGTTTCAAGGCTTCATATATTTCCATATTAAAAAAAGAATCATACAACAGTTCAGATTTTATTCTCTAAACGATTAGGAGTTGACATTTTGTTTTCTACTCTCAACTCCTCTTCATCATTGTTACATAATTACACGTACTCTTCTCCTATGCTTGTTTATGTTGTATGCCTCCTTTGTGTGTTGCTTCTTATGCAATTTTTCTGAATTTTCCTAAGCTTGTTTTTTATTTATTGTAGGATATGGCATTCAATAGAGTTTGATAACAAATACTTTGATGGATTATTTTAGTATGGGATTTAATAATTTGATGGTGCTTATCTACTGTCTCATGCTCTTCAATAACTTTCCAAAATCTACTTTATTTTCATGACTTCCTAAAACGTTTGCTCAAGCTGGGGTCTTCACGAAACAGCCTCTCTACTCACTGGGGTACAGGAAATTTGTGTGTACATCCTACCTCACAGACCCTACTTCCAAGTGGAATATAGATATAATGGTTATGTTTGGTACGTGTATGTGTATGTGTTATATGTATATGTACATGCTGCACCCAGATTTTAGTAATTTTAAAAATGCCAAACCCACACACCCCTTCCCGTTTCCTATGTTGACTGGAAAGGTTGCATTTCAGTTGTTGGGACCATGTAAAAATTATGAGACTACTCAAAGCATAAGAGCACCATATATTTGGAAAATCAATCATGCATACATCTTGGTTATAAATCACAAAGCTGATCATGAATATCTCATCTGCTCACATCAGGCAGAAACATGAATAGAAAATCTGCAAGAAGATTCACTTAAAGGAACAAAGCAAGTAGCTGACGGACCTTTGGGCTGCGACCAGTTGTATCCCACAGGTGAACAGACCCATCATCACCAGCAGTCACTAAAAGGTGTCTGCTAATCCGTGAATAATCAAGCACCCTCAATACCTGAGCTTGAACCATCATACAAACATCTAGCACATCAGAAAACAAAAGTATATAAATTACAAACACCAATAAGAACTAAGATTCTTAATGGCTTTGTGATAGCTAGAAGTTGGACAGGAAGACACACCTGCCCATTAGGATCCTTGAGTTCAGTAGCCCTCGCTCCCGACGCAAGGTTATGAATTATAAGATCACCACTAAGACTAATGGAAGCCAAGTGCTCATCTTTGCAATTGTATTTCACATCTGTTATTGTGTCTGTATGGCCCTTCAACCACTTTATACACCTTCTCCTCTGCAAATCCCATATTCTCACAACTTGAGCACTTCCACCGGAACAAATGTAACGAGATGCTTTGGTACTAAAGTTGATAGTGAAAATAGACTCCTGCAAGATTTACATGGAATTTTCTCTAATTAATTTATAACATATGGAGAAATTTATCAAAAAAAGCGAAGTTTACCGATACAAGCTGGCTTGCAAGTTGCAACGTAAAAAGCAGCATACCTCATTTATAGCTGTTATTCATATGATGAAACAAATGAAACCAGAGCCAGAAAGAAAAGAATACACATAGTGCTGTACACATAACTGGTGGGCAGATATGCACCTTGCAAATTTAAGGAAGCAAGGCTTCCTTACCTCATGATTTACCAGAGGTGGAATGTAGATGAAAATCATCACAATATGCAAAATGAAAAGCTTCTCATGCTAGTAAAATATGTAAATTCAGCTTATTAACTTCTCTTGCAGAACAATAACATAGGCTGACTGGGCCTAACTGTAAATAATATTTAGTTTTATGAAAATCTAAAGTCCTCCATAACTCTTGATCCTAACAATCAATCAAAACAAAGGAGAGCAAAATAAACACAACCTTATCACCATTTGACATCGATTTTGAGAGGCAATTTAGAACATACAAGTGGAACCTCACCTCTATATTGTCGCCACTGTCGCTGCCGGCTGCAGGAATAGTCCCCATGCTTTGACCATTCTTTCGCCATAAAGATATCCTTTTATCATCACCAGCACTTGCCACCACCAAATCTAATCACAACCCCATCTTAAAGTCAGGCTGGTTTTTGCAATTTGAAGACTAATAACCATGGCATTATCTGAAGAAGGGGGAAATCAATTCTTTAATCAAATTAAATCACCAAAGGATGAAAAATCTTACTTGTATGGTTCCACTTTACGGAGTTAACTTGAGAACCGGGTGAAGGCGTGTGGCTGAGAATACAAGGATCGCCGGGATCCACCGAAACATCAAAGAGTTTAACGGTGTCTCCTCCGCTAGCGGCCAAAAGCGACATTGCTGGATCGGTGAAGTTCATCAGTAATTAGGGGCTGATGAGATGTGTAGCAAACGTTATGGAGTCGTGTGATTCAAATTACAACATCGAATCGAAGTGAAATTCAATCGAAAAATAGATTAATGGAATGAGAAACGGATGAAATGCGATCGGATGAGGAAATATTTGAGAGAAAAAATGGGATGAATTTGTGTTTCCAACTTTCTTTTTCTCGTAACGATGATTTGGAAACCCTAGAGAGAGAAATTTTTCAAAAAAGAATGTGAGGGCTCGGCGCTTTTTTAAATCGAGGAAAATGACTCCATTGATTTTTTATTTCACGACAAATTGTATAAATTAAAAAAAAAACACTAGATTAAAAAAACCTACCAAGATATAACATCAATGTTCGATGCTACTCGTTCGAAAGCTCGATTAAACTTTACAAATTGAGTCGAACTGAGCCATTCGAGCGTGATATACTTGAAATTAGAAGTTAAAAACTAAGAAAATGATACAAATGGTGTAAACCAACTTTAGTAGAGAAACTTGTGTTATTATTATAGTTTCAAAGAATATACGGTTGTACCCGACAAAATAATGTGGTAACACCTTTCACGACCCTAAAATTTCTTACACTACAACCGAGAAACGAAGCGGTGGCTCGTCCCACCCTATACACCATAGTTGTATAAACATCTAGATAGAATATTTTTATAACATTCCACGAATGTTTTAACTATAAGCTCGTTTATTTTTTTTTTTTTATGGTTTAACTCAAACGACTCCTTTTTCCATATTCCAATGTTCTAAGGGTTGTTTGTTTATCTCTTAATAGTTTTATTAAAATGCAAGTTCTGAATCGTTAAGAGATGAATCTTGTTTGGTAAAAAAAGTCTGTCTCTTAATAGTTTAAAAACTCTCTGAATGATTTTGTATCATAGGTCTCCCTTAACCATTCAGCGCCCCTAATTACATTGTAAACAATTATCAAACAATTATATTTCATKTTACACTATATCATGAGAGTCTTTTAATCATTCTGACCACTTAATCATTCTGCACAAAACCATTCAATAACTGTCAAACAGTCCCTCACTCTCAAAGCAAAGGATCCCATATAATCAGTTATCTACACAAATCATGAATCGTATAAAAGTGTGAGAAAATCGTATAATCGCCTTGATGCACTTCTCCACACAAGTACATCATAATCTTTATTCGTTTTTAGTACCTTTGTATTTTGGAACAATGTATTGTCCAATCATCGAAACCGAATGATCCCATATACCATTAGAAAGATCATTTTATCGACTGTCATCTCAATATATGAACTCATTCGGGATTCCTATTTCCTAACACTGATATTTCATTATACTATTTGTTATTATTACTGAACTCATTACATAAAAATGTGATTTCTCACAAATCTGAATAAAACGTAGTATTTGCTTAAAACAATTAATATACCAAGCTCAACCAGGGGTGTACATGGATTGTGTTGGTCGGCTTGCAACATTTAGACAATCCACCTAATTACAAACGATTCGGAAAAATCTCAACCCAATCCAACCAGATAAAAAGTACAACCAACCCACTCAATCTAACATATTGTATGCAGTGTTCAAAAAGGCCATGACATGAAATAGTGCAAGGCGTGTCTTCGTCGTTACGATAACGTTTATGTAAGGCGTGGCTCACGCCATGACGTGATGCGACGTGTAATTTTTTCAAGGCGTGACTTTTTTCAAAAAGAACCTTTCGATTTTTAAGTTTTTTTGTGTTTTTACGTTTTTTAACTTTATATTTTTATATATTTATCTAATCACATTACCTATAGTTCCATGAATTCATTAACTAACGTAATAGACTGACGATTAAAACAAAGTTACAAAATTACCCATTTAATTATATTTTGAATATTTAATCAAATATTATTTTTATAATAGTAATTCTATATAATTTTTCTTTTTTTATAACTGATTGAATACTAGATAGCAAACATATATGTGTGTATATAATTTTATATATGACATAAATTTGTCGCCTTATGTCACACTTTCAAAAACATCATGTCTTCACCAAGCATTGACATCGCCGCCACGTCATGCCTCACACTTTTTTGAAATTGATTGCAGGTTAGATTGAGTTTGCGGGTTAATTCTATATAATTTATGTCCAACATACAAAATATAAAAATGAAAAGTTCATAAAAACCCAACAAACTATACCATTTTAAATGATCAAGTTCTTAAACTATTTTTTGCATGAAAAAATCATCTCATTTTGAAGAATTAAGTCCCTGAATTTTTTTTTGAATGAAAAACCACTAAACTTTTCCATTTTGAATGATTAAGTCCATGAACATCTTTTTTATAATGTAAGTCATCGAACTTTTAAAAATTGGTTAAACTAACACTAGGAATCTTTGATGAACAGCATCACGAATTATTATTATTTCGATACAAGAAAAGGATTTTTCACACCCTTTTCGTGTGTCGAAGACTAGGAAGACGAATAACCCCTCTCTACTATCTAATTCCTTTTAACAAAAAACCTATATATAACCGATTGGAAATGTCCTAAAGTAAAAAGATTCCTAAATCAGTTTTATCGTTTCCGAACCCTACGCTCTTCAAACCCCTTGCAAACAACAGTATCGTTCCAAATTCGAAGTACCAATTGTATTAATAATAATCCACTTCGTTACATGATTTCCGTCTCATATATATATATATATATATATATATATAGGGGTTGGTTCAAATACTAACCAAGATTTTTGTGTTAACTTTGTTAACCAAGCTCAACCAATCATATTCCATCTTTTCTTTAGGTTCACATATAACTCATATATTAATGACAAAGGGTAATTAAGTAATTTGTCATTTATGTAACTCCCAAATCATCAATTGGGAGTTACAAATCTAAAAATCTCAATAATTGATGATTATGTAATATTGATATTTTTTTATATGTGTTCATGTTTTGTAATTTCGATTTATTCTATCCATAATGATATTGATTTTGTAATTGTTAAAGAATTTCTTATTGTAAAGATTTCGATATCGTCCGAGTAATATGGATAAACCTATTGGAAAACAGATCGACAACAATGAGAATGAAAAGGTAAAATCGTCTACGACTATAATCGAAATTCGAATTCATATGTAATTGTTAAAGAATTGTTCACAAGTGTTCATATTGTGTTCATATGTACGGTAGCTGCATATCTCAACATTGGCTTGCTCCTGAATGTGTTTATAATGAAGAAACTATTGTTCACAAACTGTTCATATTGTGTTCATATGTACATTAGTTGCATATCTCAACATTAGCTTGCTCCTGAATGTGTTCATAACGAAGGAACTATTGTTCACAAACTGTTCATATTGTGTTAATATCTGTTTTTTTATTTATTTACTTTCGTGTAACAACTATTCTTATTGTATTCATATTGTGTTCATAAATGCTATACAGTCCAAGTTCATATATATGTCAATTTTGTTCATATTTGACACAATGGTTCATATATATATATATATATGTGTGTGTGTGTGTGTGTGTTCATATGGTTTTTACATTAACAAAAATAATGAGATTTTTTGATTTTGTAACTCTCAATTAATGATATGGGAGTTACATAAAAAAGAAAATTACATTAATACCTTTTCCCCCTTTGTTTACATATGTTCTTTGAAATTGTAAAATTAAAATTTTAATTTTTTATCATAATTAATCACAACCCTTTATTGTAAGAATCAATGACCAAGATTGGTTAACAAAGTTAACACAAAAATCTTGGCTAGTATTTAAACCAAACTCTCTCTCTCTCTCTCTCTCTCTCTATATATATATATATATATATATATATAGGATCTATGGGGCAATTACTTAAAAGTACATCTTGTGCTACAACCCTTCCTATCTGATAGAAAAGGATCCCATGATCCTGAAACCATCTTACCTGGTATCACAAATCCCAAATTTGTCTATGAAGAGTGGATCTAATTGTATTAGTATTTATGATTGATTTCTTCTGTGTAACACTAATCGATAGTGCCTCATCGGTAAGTGCTACAAGATCTCGTGCATCAGAACCCATGGTTATGGGCCCGAATCCATTAGTATGGAACATTTTTCTTCCAAGTGAAATCCCCTAGTATATGAAAGAGTGAAAAAATGCTTTTTGTTGTGGAATAAGAAGCCTTTCATATTTTAATGCTCGTATTAAATTTATTCAAAGCTATTAGAGCGGGATCCACTTTTTGGGGAATATGAGTCGAAGCAATAACAAGAATATTTATAGTTTCATCATCCCTGGATAGAAGGTTCACTAATAGACCTAGGGAGAAGTAATTCGACTCATTCACATCCAGATCATGAATGTTTGGAATCCATATCATGCAAGGAAACGTTGTTTTTGCTAATTCGAATTGAAGGGTGATATAAAGTTGGTCTTCCTCTTCAGGCAACATATCCATAGTTAGTTCTCTTGTTTCTCTTGCTATTGAAATATCTTTAATTTTTACTTCTCTTGTTTCTCTTGCTATTGAAATATATTCAATTTTTATTTCTACACACTTCTATTTTTCAGGGGTCTACAGTCATTATGTGACATAGAGGTTACATATCGTACGAAAGTTAATAGTATACCACTTCTGCGAATAGCTCGTAATATTGCGTCTCTTCTGAGACCGGGACTTTTAATCACGACTTCTGCTCGTTACATACCTTGATCTACTACTGCACGAATAGCATTTTCCCGCTGTGGTTTGAGCAACAAATGGCGTCCCTTTTCTTGTACCTTAGAAGCTACAAGTACCGACAGAGGACCAAGAAACCACTCGCCCCCGTACATATGTAGCAGTCAAAATGGTATTATTGAAATTTGCTTTAATATGAATAACTCCCTTTGTTATTTTACGTGTACTCCTACGTGAACCAATACGTCCACGTGAACCCTTTTTCGGTATAGCTTTTGCCATATTTTATCATCTCATAAATTTGARTCAGAGATATATGGATATATCCATTTCATGTCAAAACAGATCCCMCTTCTTATTTGTATATCGGGTCTTTAACGGGTTTGATTATTCTTGTCTTTGTTTTTGTCTTGGGTTGGAACAAATTACTATTATTCGTCCCCGACGATGAATTAGTCGCCAGTTTTCACAAATTTTACGAACAAAAGCTCTTATTTTCATATTTATCACTCCTTACTTTAAATTTGAATCC